CTATTAGTGGGGAAATATCTTACCAGTTGATCCTATTTCCTTTGTTTGGTAACATTGAGTGGTCAATTATATCCTTTCGTGTGTGTGTCACGTGACATACATTATTCCAAGACAAAAAGCATAAATAGCCTTAGTGTACTTTGTTGATGTGTGGCACCCATTGTGTGTGTCACGCGACATACATCATTCCAAGGCAAAAAGCACTCTACACTCAAATCGTAACCAAACACATAACAAAAAAATTAAAATATTTAAAAATATATTTACAAAATAAATTTTTAAAAATTTTTTAATATTTAAAATATTAAAAAATCATAAATATTTATTTATTTATTTATTTTAATGTGTATTATATTTCATACATTTATGTGATATATTTTTTAATATTTTAAATAATAAAAAATTTAAAAAAAATTATTTTTTATTTTAAATATAATTTTTATTATAAATATTAGTTAACCAAACAAATGTTTTACTTTTTTTGATAAAAAAAAATTACAGAATAAATATATAAAGTGTAGAGTAAGTGGAAGGAAAAAAATAAAATAAAATTGAATTGAATTTGAAAAAAACAAGGGTTTGGAGATGTGAGGGACTGAACCGTGTACCTCTCCCATGGAAAGGAGTACACTACCATTTGAGCTACCTCCCTACTTGTCTTATATTTTGGTTACAAAACAATTTTATTTAAAAGCGTGGTTTCTAACCACACTTTCTTTACAAAAACAGATTTTCTTAAAAGCGTGGTTTGTAACCACGCTTTTTTAATTAAATGCGTGTTTTTTTTAATTAAAAGTGTGATTTGTAACCACACTTTTATGATTTTATCAATTTTTCGCGGTTGGGCCAGAAATATGGTGAAAGCGTGATTTGTAATAACGTTTTAAATTATTTTGGGAATTCCGTTCAAACTAGGCCTAATTTGGGAAATAGGTTGCTATTTTAGCTTATTTTGAGAAAAGCCCCCATTACATTGGCATGACCATAATTATATCAAATGTATATATATTTTGTTAAATGTATTTCTATTGGACAATCGTACTCATTTTTATCATAATTAACATTTTCAGGTCAAGATGATGGAATTCCATCTCATTGACTAGATGATGGGGATATTTTGACGGAGCACACACGCTCGTTTTGATGTGCTTCTTGAGGTAAAGCTACCAAGCTAACTTGTCCGAATAGTATTCTATCAAGGCCCTTATCTTGAAAGTTGTAAGCTCTTAAAGCATTTTTATTTGTAATTCTCTAGCTCATTGAATTGCTTGTGAATTATATTTTGTATTTTGAAAGGATCACAATGGAAACCAAACTTGTAACAATTTGGGAAGTTGAAAAAGAGGAATATTTGAGGATTTTAAAAATGGTTATGTACTATTTAATATTTATTAAAACTTTATTTTTACTATGAAATGGGAATGAGAATAAAATATTGAAATAAAATATCGGGACATGACAACTTTTGTCTCATTCCTTCATCACTATGAACTCCCCAATCCTTCTCTTGTCAACCCTTTGTTAACCCCTTCACTCTCCCCTCACCATTGTAGCACCCCTTCTTAAATTACAATGATTGCAAGCAAATCACAAGAAAGAGATCTAGGGATTTTAGATATAAGGTTTCAAGACTGTATATGGGAAATGATGGTGAGAGAAGGGTGTGGACGTCAAGGTAATGTTGGAGAATGAAGGGAGAGGGGTTGCAGGTGACAATATAGAATGAGGGGAGTAGGATGCAATGGTGGAGTGATGGGGTGATGAATTGGCTATGGTGTGTTATAGAGAAAAAAATGGCGTGGGTTTGTGGGGGTTGGGTTGTTTGTAGCGAGGTGAAGTAGAAAGCTTGCAGACAGTAACAAAATGAGTGAGTAGGTGGTAGTGGTGGACAAAAACAATCAATCGTAGAGAGCTAGGTAGAAGGAAGGAAAAGGTGGTGGCATTAGCGATGGGGAATATTGGCAATAGGTGGCACTGAATAGAGAGGAAGTATGTACAGAGAAATTTTAGATTAAAATTTTATTTATTTTTAACAATGGATTTGTTTAGGGTGTAGAATAGTAATCAGTTTGGTTTAAATTTTTTGAATTAAATTTTTTAAAAGTTGACTTTTTTGATTTTCGTATTTTTTTTTTTTTAGTGAATATTTTTTAAATTTTAAATATTTTTTTTACTTTTTTAAATGTACCTTACTTAGATGTATCTAAAAAGTAAAAAATTTGTGAAAAAATATTTTAAAAAATTAATAAATACATAAAAATACAAAAAATGTACTGAATTCTTGTATTTTTTTTTATATTTTTGGTATTTAGTGAATTTTTAAAATATTTTTTTTACAATTTTTTTTACTTTTTAGGTGTATTTATGTTAGGTGTGTCTAAAAAGTAAAAAAAAAATGGTTAAAATATTAAAAAAATTCAGTAAAAATAAAAAAATACGGAAAATAAAAAAGTAGAATTTTCTAAAAAATATTTTTTGAAAAGTGAAAACAAGTAAGGTGAATACAATTTTTTTTTTAAAAAAAGAGTTAAACAAATTTTATAGGCTAAATTACGTTGACCTCCCCAATTTTCCCTTTACATTCTAAAAATTACACTAACTTCCTCAGTCAAAACGCCATTAAAAAAATGAAATGACTTCATTACCCCTCTTATCTCAATTCCTCAATTAAAAGGTCCCTATGAAATATTTTCACTAAAAAGTGTCTTTCAATAAATGAGTCTCTATTCATAAGTTGAAGGAGATTTTAATTTGAAAATTCCTTAATTAAAGCCCTTTAATTGCCAATTTAATAAAAAACTGTGATTGTTTGGAAAGTTTCTATTTTAGTAGGCTATCTTAGTTTTTGTCTATTTTAATTGGTTAAAATTTTTATGTTTGAAAATATGATTGATTTTTTTTGTAATTGAATGTGATATTTGTGAGAGAAAACGTGAAATGATTATAAATTTGATGTGATATTTTATCTTATTGACTATTTTAATCTATTTTATCTTTTTATGAATTTTAGCCTAAATTAAACTAAAATTTCATTTCCCAAACAGCCCCATCATCTTCTTGACTTTTGGCAATAAATTTTAATTTAAATTAAATTTTATTTAAAATTTAATTAATTTTCACCAAATGCGTTTCTCTCTTATAATACTAACAGGTGTCATTGAATGACTCCTAATTAGTTAACCTATATTGTCGTAATAGGTCAACCGTTTTCTCTCGGCTAAGATATTAAAATGGATTAGGTCACATAATTTTGACAAGACCCGTATTTTTTTAAAAGCCTTTTCATCATCTTTAGCTTTGACTAATCAAAAAAATTTTAATTGAAAATCAAATGATGATTGAATTATGAGAAAAATATTACACTTTTTTTCAGATGGGAAAAAACATATTACACTTAGCAATTTATTTTTACTTACTGATTTCACACCTTATATCTATTAACTTTCATTAATTTTATAAATCATTATTCATAATATATTATATTATTTATATATATATTTTTTTAATTTTGTCCTGCCTTGATATAATACAATATGAGAGACTACAAACCTGTCATAAACCCGGCACATGGCCATCCTTAATTGCCCGAATTAATTTTTCTAAATTGTTTTGTGGATTATATTGGAACAGAAGGATTATATCCCCTAAAAATAAAATAAAAAAACCATCATGATATTTATCCACATATTTTGCGATTTGCATTTTCTAATTCAAAGTAATTTACTTATGGAGGAAGCTCCCTTCCACTCCACTAATTAGACTAAAGTCCAGTTTAGTGTTTTGTGGACTTATCTCGGATCTATCTTAGTGATCTAAACTGTTTAAATTTTAGAAACTTCTGATAAAATAATCCACTTAAAAAATAAAGTTAATCGGATATCGATAACCACACATTTGAATCATATTTGTATTAATAAAATTAAAAGGTTTATTTTTGATATCATATTTTGTCAATTATTTTTTAAAGACAAATGTGATCTAAATATGTGATTATTGATATTCAATCTACCTAATTTTTTTACACAGATGATCTACTTTGAATGCACTAAAATTAGAACAGTTAAAACCACTAAGGCGGATCCAAGATAAGCCTACAAAGCACTGAGGACTCTCTAATCCACTAATTGGACTGAAGAAAAGCCTTGTCATTTACTTGTTCATGCAATTTTTACACAGAATAAGTTTGTGCTACTGAGATGTATTAAATTTCACCGACCTTTTTTTTACCCTTCTAATTCATTTCCTCAGATGTCACTTGGTAAAAATGGTATGATCTTTCACAGCAGATTTTCTCATTTCTAGCATTTGAGGGCAAGGCTGTACTCTAGTTTCGGTTTACTTTACACCTACGATCATGAGGAACTTTCTGTCTGTGAGGATATAGATCAGGTTCGTGCTGTCATGAAAAGGCTTCCAGGGAATGCTGTGGTACTTGAGAAGAGCTGAAGTGAAGAAGTGGGTATTGAATTTGAAGCTGAATTGAGCTATTGCAGAGTTGAGTCATTGCCAAACTGGGTTGAATTACTGAGTTGCATCGAGTCATTACATCCTTCTTTTTGAGGACATGGAAAACAATATATTGATAAAGCAACACGTGTACACAAATAAGATTCCAAATGGTCATCCCAACCAAACAACAAAAGAAAAAAACAACAAAAAAAAAAACAAAAATTATATCCGCCAAAAAAACAGCTAGTACGAGCCAGGGAAGACTATCGATCTGCTCAAAGATGTGGTTTAAGAGTCATTACATCATTGGCTAAGCTAGAGTTAGTTTACAAATTGGTTAGTTAATTAGATGACATGTCATTATCTGATTTGTTAGAACTGTAATAGTGGATTGTTAGTTTTAGTTATGTTGTTATAACATAACATATTTCAAAGATATTAATCAAAGATTTGAGTCTTTCTATATGAACAGTCTGCTTGTATGAAAAACAAAAAACAAAAAACACAATCAACAAAGTAGGATGAGTGATCAAATTGTAATGTTCAACAAAAACTGAAACACCAGAATTGGGCTCTCAAACTTTCTATTAAAAATTGTCATTAATCAAAACAATATAAGGTTCCAACACAAGGATCTAAGAGGAAAAAAATAATTAAAATATACATAAAAAAGGAAGCCTCTCACCATCCCAACAAATAGAGCGGAACAAAAAATATGAAAATTGAAAGAGGGAAAAAAAAATATAAAATTTTACCACTGAACAAGCTTAAATTGCATTTCCGAGTTGATTAGATAGATGCAAAATGAATAGGGCTGCTACTCTCGCCCTGTATGCAATTCTCAATATATGCAACTCTACTTCAATGTAACCCGAGGGTTGCTACTTTAGTCTTTTTTGCCCGTAAAAGATTTAGTTTGTTCTCGAGCACCATGCTTCTTTCTCCTTGAAGCACCAACAGCCACAGGGTCAACCAAAGGACCTGACCAAGTTTGAACATATTCCTTTGAATGTGTGAATGAGGTGGAAGTAAAGGGAATATCAGGGGAAACGATGGCTGGATTGATGTGATGTGAAGCACCTAAGGGGACTCCAAGCGCTCCATCCTGGTGAGGTGGAGGAAACTTCTCACTCTTGCTTTTCGCATTTGCATGGCTGATTAGACGCCGGCGCTGCTTAGAGACAAACCAACCAAATAAATAGATATGTATTAATAAAAGCAACAAGAAAAAAAAAATCACTAATAAGCATATTTAAATTGTGAAAATTTGACAGCATGTAAGCATATAGACCTTCGAAGTACACCAAATCAGATACCTTTGGATGGCAACAAATGCAATTATGTGCTTATCCACAAGTCTTCTTATATTAGGTAGCTTATTGCCGCAGCTTTGGTTCTAAAACTACTTGATCCGAATTTTCTTTTTTCTTACCATCTATTTTATCCAGAGTACACCTTATTTCCAACTAAAAATACTACAGTTTATTTGACATATAATATTGGAATTAATATATATATATATATATATCTTCATCTGTACTTGTTTGTGCTACAAACTTCCACCGCATATCCTTTCCTCATCACACTACTATAGCACCATGAGGCAGATTATGTCCCTGAGAATTATACTACATTTTTTTTTGGATAAATAGAGAATTATAGTACATTCATCAATGTATCAGCTTGACACTGAGAATTATACTACATTTCTTGACATTCTTATATGTTCCCCTTTTTCTTTTTAAGGTCTCTAGTTTCAAGAATCACAATGCTTCAAAAAAGAATATTTTTTTAAAATCATGATGTTTCTCCATTTGCTAGCCATATGAGGTCAAACCATTATATGTTTGTTTTCTCTTGAAAGTAGTAGTATCTGGTTGGCTACCAAGTGACTAATCCAGCTAGGTTGTAGTAAAATGGTCACTCGTGTCACTAACATAAAGGAAAAATAGTTGAACAAAACGGTTTGTTGACATACATCGACATTAGATTGAAGCTCAGCATTGGCTTCTGGAGCAGGAATAGCTCGAACAGCCCGATCACGTGTTCGTGTTTTCTTAGTGCCATCGCCCTGGGCTTTATTAGCAGCTTTTAGCCTGCATAAGTAGAACATTCAATTATTGCCAAAAGTAATCAGTGAATAAATATAAGACTACATGCACACAACAAAGAAACATTTAAAAAGAAGTTTAATAAATAGAAACACTACCAAGAAAAAATGGAAGTTGAATGTGAAAAAAGATTGACCAATGGTTAAGTTTACACAAAGATGTGATTGAAGTTTAAATAAATGTTACTCAATGTGAAAAAAGAAACACTATCAAAAGTTTTAATTCTCTTAATGCATATAAAAAGGTGAAAAAAGATTATACTCAAGTTGAATTGATGTAAAAGTCTACAAATTCAGTTAGTAATTGATTCACTAATCACTACATACTTAAAGATGTGATTGAAGTTTAAATAAATGTTACAATCCCTATATTTCAACATTCTGTATTTATTTCAACACTTATTTTAATCGCCACCATACTCAAGATGGTATTTTGAATTTGAGTTCATAAATGAAAGATGGGATGGAGAAAGTTATCAAATTAAATGAAACAAAATCATACAGTAACTTAACCCAAAAAATTGACCAATGGTTAAGTTTACACAAAGGAGGTGCCTCATCCAACAAGCACAATCATAAACAGAAGCCTAAACATGTCATCAGGGATCTTGATGATCCAATAAGTAGCAAACAGTCCCACCTAAAGTGAGACAAAGTTATAAATTAAACTCCTGGTGGCAGCCTGATTTCAGAGCTTCATACAATAACGAAGTTAAAAGATAATCATTACCTGCGAGCCTCATTGTCACGCCGTTTAGCATCGATCTCTTTGGTTGGAGGATATTGTGGAAGACTAGACGGATCACAAGCATATGGTTCTGTAGTAAAAAACTACAGACAAACAAACAAATAAGAATGAAACAGGACAATTATCAAAAGGATACACATTACAATATGAACTCAAAGCTGCTTGCCAGCATGATAGAACTTCATTGACAAAGTTGGCATTCTTATTATGTAAAGGATCTTTTGAGAAATGAAAATTAATCAGACTTTTAAAAGTTGCTTTTTACTGTTAACTGCAAACTAAAGCATTCTTTCCTTTCCACTCTTCTTACCCTAGTCTGCAAAGTCTCATTACGATGCTGATTCACCTAATCAAATATTGAAAGACTCATTATTTTGTAACCAAATCAATTTCTTGTTGATGTTTTTTTCAGCTGCTCAGTGTTTCCCCATTTTTGGATTAACACTTCTGACTTCTGAGACACTCACAACTTCTTCTTTAAATGTGCATATATATATATATATATATTCTACGTTGACATAGAATCTCATTTTTTAAGTAAATAGATTAAGTGAAATAATTAAATTACTTTCTTCATTACGAATTTACTTCAAGTCTTCAACAACTGCTTCAAATCTTTCACACTGCTGCTTTACACACATTGAATATTAAACTACTGTGTTTCCCAAATAAAAAGGCTATCCTGTGCACAAGGCTCCAACTAACACGGGGTTTGGGAAGGGCAAGATGTATGCAGCCTTACCCCCATTTCTGGAAAGGCTGTTTCTGTGTTTCTCAAATATTGTAAATATTTCAACAATTTCAAAACATTTAAGCTACCAGACATAAGTTAGAAAATCGTATCAGGACAAGCAACAAAAGCATTAGCATCAAGGAAAGACTTTAATAGAAGCCAAGAAAAGCCATGTGCATAATAAATTAAATAAGTAGTTGGGTATACAGAGACTGACTTCACTCCTTAATGCAATTGTTGCAGTTTTACGGTCAGCTGGATCATTTGCAAGAAGAGTTTCAATTAAAGGAAGTGATGCTGTAATCACGAAATGTTTGAATGTATGTGAAACGCATCGCCTGTAAGGCTCCCGGGGCTTGAATAAGGTTGCATTTGGCAACTTCGATTTTTTCCAATATTCATCAGAAGGTGAGCCACATAGCTTGTAAATTTTATGCAATTGTTCTACCTTGGTGACAGAAAAAGACAAATGTTAATAGCATAAAAGAGGGAGAAACAATTCTCAGTTTATGACAGCATTTAGAAAGCTAAAAAGCAGTACCCCACATAAAATTCCAGGCATTATGCAATATAAGCTCTCAACTGATATTCTAAAAGTTCAACAATTTCGTGGTGCAAGATTGAAATGCTGAAAGAAAGCAAACAGTTACATGCAGAGAACATCCAGTTCAACAATAGAAGGCTAAACTCAATGAAAGCATGACTCCGATGCTGGAAAAATCCAACATCTGAACGTGTCCCACCAAACTTTTCCAGCTACTAAACATACACATTCTATCTGTCAATGAGCTCAAATGAATTAGTTGGTTGGTCATATACCATTTTGGCTTATGATTCTTAACTTCTCTACACCTTTCAGCCAATCAATTGCAGGGCAACATTCCAAGCTCAATCTCTCAACTTGACCATCTTGAACATCCCAATCTTATTGTAAACGACTTGAGTGGTAAAGTTGAGCTAATTTTGTGTGGGTATTGGAGGCTTTTGGTTTGTTGATGGATTTTGAGTTTTGACTGTTCAAATGGCAGTGGCTTGGTGTAGGTGGGACAGGTATAGGGCAAGGGATGAAGGAAATGAAGCTAGTAAGGTAATTTTCTTTCGGTATTGGAGGGCAATTAAATAATTTTATCTCTTTTGATAACTTTGTCTATAGGGAGCTTCTAAATGCACACCACATACTCTCTCAGTACACACCACTTTCTTAGTTCACACCACACAAAATTTGAGGCTTTTGATTTTTTTTTCTCAATTCACTCCATCAATATCCAAATGCTACCAAAATACACTCTACTCCAACTTTCAAACTCTAACCTGACCCTAACCCTAACGACTGCCAATGCCGGCTGCCACCCCCTAGTTGCCTCCCCTCTTCATTGCAATCCCCTCAGCCCCTTCCCTCGCCTCCCGTTGCCGCCTCTTCCCCAGCCTCCCTCCCCTCCTGTCATAGCTCCCTCTCGTCGCCACTCCCTCTCCAGCGCCCCCTTGTCGCCACCCAACTCCTCTAACCTTGAAACCCTCTAAGAAGAAGAAGGGTCCCTGGGCATGGAGTTGCAATGGTGGTGATCACAGAGATAGAGGTGGGGGTGAGGGTGGGGGTAGCATAGATTGTGTGTCGCGGGGGTGGTGGGCCCCCAAGGGTGGAGTTACGATGGTGGTGGTTGCGGCATAGTGAGTGTTGCGATGATGGTGGGCTATGAAGCATGGATACTCCAAAATTGATACCGTGGCGGTGTTCGACACGCAGACACGCCGGGGACACGAGCGTCCATATGGGGACACGGCATGGCTCATTTTTTATTTATTTATTTATTTTTTCTCTTTTGCCTCTCTTATTTAGTACTTTTGTGAAGAATATTGTTGATGTTGAATATTTTTCCCTTCTCGTCTTAGTTCTTATTACCGTTTATTATGATTTTTTTGGTGAATTGGATGATCTATTAATTTGTTTAAATGTAGTGATTATATTTATTGAATTAATGTTACTATGTTAGTGTTTGCTAATTTTGATTTAGGATGAATGTAATATGAATCTACATAACACATAAAAATATATAAAAAATAAATACAATAAAATTTGCCGCGTCCCCCGCCGTGTCCGTGTCCCCATTGTTTGGAAATTGCTGTGTCCCGTGTTCGTGTCCGTATCCGTGCTTCATAGATGGCGGGTCATTGGGGGTGGTCATTGCAATGGTGGTGTGGTGGGGCAGTGATGGGAGTGGGACGGGTGTGGCTTTGGGCAGATGTGGTTGGTGAGGAGGGAAGGGGTTCATGGCGATGGCTGATGTTGATGGTGGTGGCTGGTGGTGTGTATTTGAGAGATTGAATTTTAGGGTTATGTCCAAAAATGTAATTTACTTGAGGGGCACAATGGTAATTAAAAAAATTAAGCAATGGTGTGAACTGAGAGAAAGGATGCTTTCAGCTGTACATGTTTTACCTATTTCATGTTCACGTTATTTTTAGATTTTCAACATCCATATAAAACACATTAAATTTAAACCTTCACAAAAAATGTGTTATGGCCAATTCACCACCAGCTATTACTAGGTTAAGTGGTATCTCCTGCTACTCCCAGCAGCGAAGGAGCAGAATTGCAAGGTTTGAGCACCAACTGGGACGTGGCAAGTGCATCATACTTATCATCGCTTGGGGGGAGAAACACAAAATCTGAAGAAAACAAAAAGTTTGCCAAACAAGTTTCCTCTTTTAATCCAAAAACTGTTACCAGATTCTGGAGACTGGAAAGTTGGAAACACAATATGATATTTAACTTGTTTGGGAAACTAGAAGCAGGTTGGTAAGATTTGATTCCCAGTAGGTCTTGCAGGTTCCAACTCCTCCTACGAGCAACAAAACAGAGTGCAAATTTTTTCTACCCCTAAGATGTCATCAACCCTGAAATGAAAACACATGCCTACAAAACATATTTTTTGTTTTTATATCCAAAATTATGTACACTCACAATGCAACCTTCACTCTAGCCATCAACACCATTCGTTATACTTATCCCCATCATCCTAGAAACAAAAATACATATCTTGAACCATTTTAAATTTAACTTAGAGAATGTATTAACACAAACATGAAGAAGAAATTACAAAACAGGAAAAAAAATGTTGAATTTCAAATGACATAAAGATAAAAATTTCATGATAAAACATAGAAGTGGGTTAATACCTCCGTGCGACCAGGCATGATAGGCTTCCCAGCCAATAATTCAGCTAAAATGCAACCTGCACTCCACAGGTCTATGCCTACACCATAGTCAGTAGCCCCAAGAAGCAGCTCTGGAGCTCGATACCACAGTGTAACCACTCGACTAGTCAACGGGTGCTTGTGGCTAGGATCCACAATGGTAGCCAACCCAAAATCAGCTATCTTAAGTATTCCTTCATTGTCAATAAGAAGATTTGAACCTTTAATGTCACGGTGGAGTACACCATGGTTGTGACAGTGCTCAAGCCCAGATAATAACTGATGCATATAACACTTAACCTGCAGTAATAACAAATGCAGAATAAAAAGTAGCATACCTTCTTAGTTGGGTATGCTGCCAAGGAAACATACCAAGCTAGTATTGTAGTTCACAAATTGTAGAAATTTAAGTCTAACCTGTGCTTCTGTAAACTTAATTTCTGGGCTAGCTGCTAGTCCAGCCAAATCATGCTCCATATACTGAAACACCAAATACAAACTACACGACATTCTTGAAGTGACCAAACCCTCCAATTTTATAACATTGGGATGATCAAGTCGCCTCAAAATAATAATCTCTCTGCACATAAATCTCACGCTTTCTGGTTCCAAATTATCGAAGCGTACCTTCTTTAACGCAACAATTTTCCCTGTCATATTGTCTCTTGCTTTGTACACATTGCTATATGTTCCTGACCCAATCTAATACACAAAAAAGAACAAATAAATAAATAAATAGCTATGTCTATGGGATAAAACACTCCAAGAGCTTCTCCAAATGGTCTGTGCTATATGGTTTGCGATTGCTATTTTTTACTTTGAAACTTCCAAATTTTCACTCCAATGGTAGGGCATATGGCTTGTTATATATTACTTATAGGTAAACATTGTGCCAAATAGCAGAATGTTTACCTATAGCTAAAATCTTTGTGTCTATATCTTTTTTCCTCTGGGGATCCACAAATAACACTTGAATTTGACATTTGGTGAGAAAATTTGAAAAATTTTGCACTGTGATTATACCATTGGAGCAATATTGTTAAAATAAAACATTTTAACACTATTCATTGCTAAATTATAGCCAAAAACTAGTTTTTTGTCTATCCAACCATTGGAGATGCTAACTTAAAGAATATGAATGAATGAATGATAAAGACAAATGACTCACTTTGTCAATCTTCTCAAAAGTGTCGGCACGTCGAGGAAGCCAACCATCAATTGCCTCACCAACATGTGCAGAAAGCCAAGATGGCCATCCTGCTGCAACTTGTTCTCCATGTTTATGCTTTGGGAGGTTACTTAGCCTTGGATTCTGCCTTGATCTCCTCCTCCTCTCACCCTGTGACCGCTGATCACCGTCATCCTTTTCCTCCTGGGTCACAGCACTATTAGCCCCACCCTTATCATTGTCAATCTTTCTCTCCCCAACCCTTAATGTCTCCCTAGATTCAACACTCAAATTCTTACTCCTTCTTCCATTCTCAGCTTCCCTATTCTCTTCCTTAGACTCGTAAACTACGCCCGACGAAACCTCTCGACCAAAAACACACCCCATTTGTGGAATCTACAATTCATCTCTCACCATATTCATATTAGTAATCTCTCTAGTCATCAATCAATTAACCAAATACAAATCAACCCACTAAACTAACAAGCATAACAACCTGCAAAAAAAAATAAAAAATCCCTATTTCAATTCAAACTTTCAATTGATCAAACTGACATAAATACAAAAACACACACACGCACACACGTGTTATATGTTTAATACAGTAGATACATAGACAATAATATAAACCCTAATTGAGGAAACAGAAACGTGTTCCAAAAGAATGCGGGAATTGCTCTCTCTAGTCATCAATCAATTAACCAAATACAAATCAACCCACTAAACTAACAAGCATAACAACCTGCAAAAAAAAATAAAAAATCCCTATTTCAATTCAAACTTTCAATTGATCAAACTGACATAAATACAAAAACACACAAACGCACACACGTGTTTATATGTTTAATACAGTAGATACATAGACAATAATATAAACCCTAATTGAGGAAACAGAAAAGTGTTCCAAAAGAATGCGGGAATTGCAGAGAGAAAAGTTACATACTTGATTGAATCTGGTAAAAGAGAACGAAGGAGAGAGAGAGAGCATATATAATTTTGAAATCTTTCTGTATATTGTCTGTGTATGTCTGCGCTGTCTCTAGCTTGCTTTCGGAAAAGGACTACTGTAAACAAGAAGAGATCACGAGCTATTATAGAATTTTCCATACATACATATTTCGTATATATGTGTATAGGTTTAGTTGCCGATCTCTGCAAGTCAAAGCTCTACTGTGGAACTGTCAGAGCGAAAAGCATTTGGTTTTTTGGAAACATTACCTGTTTTGGTAATATATTATAGGGAGAGAGCTATTAAGATCTTTTAAATAGAATTATTTATCTAGAAACTCTTAAATTATTAAAAATATCATTTAAATTATTAAAAATTATTCAGCTTGCTTATTTTTATTTTTCAGAAAATATTTTTAAAAAAATTCTACTTTCTTATTTTTCATTTTTTTATTTTTATTGATTTTTTTTAATATTTTAAGTATTTTTTTTATTTTTTAGACACACCTAACATAAATACACCTAAAAAATAAAAAAAATATAATTTTTTTTTTAAAAATTCACTAAATACCAAAAATATAAAAAAAATACAAGAATTCAGTACATTTTTTTATATTTCTATGTATTTATTAATTTTTTAAAATATTTTTTCATAAATTTTTTATTTTTTAGATACATCTAACTAAGGTGTATCTAAAAAAGTAAAAAAAATATTTAAAATTTAAAAAATATTCACTAAAAATAAAAGGATATGAAAATCAAAAAATTTAATTTTCAAAAAACTTAATCTAAAAAATTCAAACCAAACACACTGATTATTTCGTTTCTTAAATTATAAAAATATTAAAATTAACCTTTTAAATTATCGATGTGTGTTGCTTTGATTCCTTTGGTTAAGAGTCTAATTATTATATTTTTATAACTTAGAGAATCCAGTATATGTTTAGAAAAATATTTTTAAATTAATAATAAATTAAGGAAAATTTACCCATAAGTCCTAGTTTTTGAAACGTTGAACCATTTAGTCCTAAAAGTTTTCTTATGCTCCATTTAGTCCTATTTTTACATCAACATGATGTGAATGATGTAAATGATCTGATGTTTCATTCTATAATTTCAAAATTTATTGAAATCTGATTCTATAATTTCAAAATTTATTGAAATCTGATTCTATAATTTCAAAATTTATTGAAATCTGATTCTATAATTTCAAAATTTATTGAAATCTGATTCTATAATTTCAAAATTTATTGAAATCTGATTCTATAATTTCAAAATTTATTGAAATCTGATGAACATTAGATGTTTTTCATCCTATATTTTCAAACATTATTGAAATTTGATGAACATTAGATTTTTTCATCCTATATTTTCAAACATTATTGAAATTTGATGAACATTAGATTTTTTCATCCTATATTTTCAAACATTATTGAAATTTGATGAACATTAGATTTTTTCATCCTATATTTTCAAACATTATTGAAATTTGATGAACATTAGATTTTTTCATCCTATATTTTCAAACATTATTGAAATTTGATGAACATTAGATGTTTGAAATCCAATGTTTGTAACATGACTCTGATGTTATTAACATTGTATCTGATGTTATTAACATTGTAATGGGACCTTTCAGTCTATAAGAAAACTTTTAGGACTAAACAGTGCATAAGTTATTAATTTGGGATTTATTGGTGCATCCCCCTATATTTTTTTCAAATCTAAAAAATGTCAATGTAATTTACCCAAAAATGAAAGATGCATGTTGGGAAAATCCACTTTTTGTTATCAATGAAATAGTAATTGTTGTGAGCCGTGAAAGCTTATTTTAAGTTTATTTTGATAATTCGAATTGTTCATATTATAAGATTCATTGAGTAGATAATTCATAAAAAAATATCAAATTAATTGGATATTTGTAACTCTATAATAAGACCATATATTTAAAAAGAAAAAGAAAAATGGGGATGCACCAATAAATCCCAAATTAATAACTTATACACTGTTTAGTCCTAAAAGTTTTCTTATAGAGTGAAAGGTCCCATTACAATGTTTCAAACATCAGATTAATGTTTCGAACATTAGATTTCGAACATCAGATTAATGTTTCGAACATTAGATTTCGAACATCATATTAATGTTTCAAACATTAAATTGATGTGCAAATGGGATTAAATGGAGCATAAGAAATCTTTTAGGACTAAATGGTTCAACTTTTCAGAAACTAGGACTTATGGGTAAATTTTCCAAAAAAAAACTATCATAATTTTAATAATGTTTTCAAAAACATTTAGAATGTGATTATGGGATTACGGATATTGTTAGAATAATATTATTATTTTAGTTTGCTGTCATTAGTTATAATTTTCTTATTTGTGCCTTGAGACTTCTATTGTACGTTTCATATTATTAATATCTAAGGGACTGATGGTCTCATTAATCCCAAACTTTTATTTTCCATAAAACAAATATGGTATCAAAGTTAAAACCCTAATCCCATCACCCATATACCTTTCAACAACAACCAGCCATCACCCATCATTACCCATCACTAGCCGACAGTAGTAGGAGGCCATCAGGCCCAATCAACACTAGCCAGAGGCTACCCAGGCCAAGCTAACACCAGCTAAAGGTCACCTAGGACTAGCTGACAACTTCCTTGTCTGTTTCAACCTAGTCGGCAGTCCCTCTGCCTCCTTTCGGCTGTCGTTGATGTCCCTTTGAGGCTTAGTTCATCATATGTATTGATTGGTCCATCTACAAACCTGTTTTAAACCTATAACTTTTTTCCTATTTTTCTAAGAATAGTTCAGCTTTTATTTTGATTGGAGGTTCCTTGTTTCCTTAATTTAATTATTTTTTTGGGTCATTATATAGCCCCATTAATTTGATTGGTATGCTCCCATAGTGGTTTGTGCTTGATTTTGCTTCCATTCCAACTTCTCATAATTCTGATTAGTGCATTTTTTTGTTGTTGTTGTGCTAGTAGAGTATAAATGGCTAACCCGTCTAGTGACTGTACTACTGTACTACTACTTCTCACCCACCTAAAGGAGAGAGTCCCATTATGACTACTACATCTGAGAACTAGAATCATAGCCTCAAAATCACCACCTCTCTATTTAATTGTCATGATACGAACCCACCCTAATAGGTTAAGGTCATAACCGGCCAGTAATCATAAGATTACCTACGGCCTCAAACAAAACCAAACATACATTAATAGTAAAGGGGGGCCAAACGAAAGCAGTTTTAAAAATTTTGTTCATTGAGCTATGCTTACATGGCATACCAAAACATTTTTCACATATGTCATAATAACTCACGCCATAAATCAAAATAAACATAGGTGATCCAACGGATCCATCATAATAGAAAAAATGGGTAAATCAAAGAACAAAAACAAAGTCTCGTGCGTGAGACGTTTAGGCCAACTCCACAAAAACTTGGACTCCTCTTACATTCTTCACTGAGGCTGGAGTGGAAACTATTATCGTATGCAAATTCAGCTAGTGGCAAATAGTCCTCCCAGCTCCCTTGAACATCTAAAGCACACATTCTGAGCATTTGACCATGGACTTTGTTGTTTGCCTATCTCGAACTCCTAGAGGTATGGATTCTATTTGGGTTATAGTTGATAAATTAACTAAATCTGCACATTTTTTGCCTGTAAAGACTACTTTTGATGCTTACAGATTAGCCACTATATATGTTGATAAGATTGTTCAATTATTCTTATAAATTTTGATGCTATAAGATTAAATTGAAGGCCATAGAGGCGACAAAAATGAAAATTGACCGTATTTTTCTTTTATGAATAATAAAGTTTATGAGCTTCAAATTTTGATGCTTATAGTTTATAGGCATCAAAACTATAGACTCTTTCCAGAAATTGACCGTATTATTCTTTTATGAATAATAAAGTTTATGAGCTTAATTATGAGTCGTGTTAACTTGGCAAACAATACCGAGTTTTTTTTTGCTTCAAGTGTTAATAAAAGCTTTTGTTCCTTTTCATTGATTCATTTTGATGTTTGGGATCCTTTTCGTGTTATTTCATTAAAAAGACATAGATGGTTTGTCACGTTTATTGATAATTTTTCTTGCACTACTTAGGTGTATTTACTAAAAGAAAAGAGTGAGGTTTTCTTTATATTTCATACCTTTCATTAAATGATTTGCACTCAATTTGGGGCTATTGTCAAAATTCTGCATTTTAATTTTGACAATAGGGGTGAGTATATTGATTCAGGGTTAGGGTAATATTTCAACATTGATGGCATTACTCATCAGACATCTTGCACCAACACCTCTTAACAAAATGGGGTTGTAGAACGCAAGAATCGTCATCTTGTTGTCATAACTCACTGCATGAATTTTTTTTATGCACATGCCTCGATCCTACTGGGGTTAAGCTGTTCTTACCATTGCTTATCTTATCAATTGCTTTCCTATTCAAGTGTTGCACAAGAAAACCCCTTGTGACAACCCCACCACGTATATTAATTAGCATTTAATTAATTAAGGAGATTTGAATTTTAATTGCCCATTATTCTGATTTAATTTGGGATTTATGAAAATTGTGGAGACTGATTCGTATGTGATTCTATTGAGGATTTATTTTGGAATTAGAAATTGAAAGCCTAAATGGCTCAAGAGAGTATAATTGGTGAATTGAATTATTTTAATTTCGAGTATCAGACTGTAATTTTCCATAAAACAAATATGGTATCAAAGTTAAAACCCTAATCCCATCACCCATATACCTTTCAACAACAACCAGCCATCACCCATCATTACCCATCACTAGCCGACAGTAGTAGGAGGCCATCAGGCCCAATCAACACTAGCCAGAGGCTACCCAGGCCAAGCTAACACCAGCTAAAGGTCACCTAGGACTAGCTGACAACTTCTTTGTCTGTTTCAACCTAGTCGGCAGTCCCTCTGCCTCCTTTCGGCTGTCGTTGATGTCCCTTTGAGGCTTAGTTCATCATATGTATTGATTGGTCCATCTACAAACCTGTTTTAAACCTATAACTTTTTTCCTATTTTTCTAAGAATAGTTCAGCTTTTATTTTGATTGGAGGTTCCTTGTTTCCTTAATTTAATTATTTTTTTGGGTCATTATATAGCCCCATTAATTTGATTGGTATGCTCCCATAGTGGTTTGTGCTTGATTTTGTTTCCATTCCAACTTCTCATAATTCTGATTAGTGCATTTTTTTTGTTTTGTTTTGTTGTGATAGTAGAGTATAAATGGCTAAC